CCTTGAACCCAATGTCCCTTAATTCAATCCCATCGATTGATGCAGGAAAAGAAAAAAATATTTTTGGTCTCTTATTTATGATTGTGCCATCCTAATAGTCATTTACTTCAAATTTTCCTAAATATTTTGTTATCCTTCCAAACAAACCCATGAAAATTTCTCAAAACATTATATAGATGGGGTTGGGTTTGGTCCGCAAGTAAAACTATGACCGCAGACTAAAAATGGCGGCTTCATCTCATCTCTTTGCACTCCCTTCGCCTCTACACACAGTTTCAACTCAACCAAACCGGAATCGAGTTCGTGTTTTAGCGAAATCATGTCGGGGCAATCAGAGCTTCTTCGATTCCAACGATTCAGATTCTTCGTCGGAGACTACCAACAAAACCCAGGTCAATAATATAAACTGGCTTTCTTCCTAACAATATTCTTGTTTGTGCTGTGTCTCCTGAGGCTTATCTTGTGTTTGATTTCCTGCAAAGTCTGAGTTTTTAAGGAAATTGAATGTTCAGTTCACTATTTTGTAAAAGTTGGTATCTTCTTTCTCTTCTTCCAAGCTGAAAGTTTCCAATTGATCATTTCGACTCTTCCTTTGGTAGCTAACCACACAAATTGGAGCTTGAAAGTTACAAGTTCTTGTTATCTTTCTTTACTTCAACATTTTTAGTTTATTTTAAGTTTTTGATTCATTAATGATAACCAAATAAACAGTGTATCTCTGTTATTGTGTAATCTGATGACTACTAATAGCTTACATTACAATCGGATGGTTGATTATTCACATTCTTTAGTTAATTTTGGTATGCTAATTTGCTTCTAGTATGCTAAGAAAAATTCACAAGTCTTAGTCTTTAGTTTTGCTACAGACTGGTTGAATCAACACTAGTGTCTTACTGTAGATTAGGAGCTGAGGTAGTTGTAGTTCACAGTTTGTTAGTTTTGTCTGCAAGTGCTTCCATTCTGCTAAGAAAATTTTAGTTTTGAGCAAAGTGGGTGACTTACAAGCTTGTGTTCTTGGCTGCAGGAGGATCAGAAATCCATGTCACGGAGACAGTGGATGACATGTGTGTGCTTATCTCCAGTTTTAATTAACAATGCTTATACCTTTGTCTCTGTACAAAACGCAGCGGCGTTAGACAAGAAAGCAGGAGCTTCATGCCGTAACTGTCAGGGCATTGGTGCTGTTCTTTGTGAGTGACACTTCTTTCTTTCTTCTTAAGTTTTGGTTTCTTTTTCTGGGAATCTGATCTACAAACAAACATATCATTGAACGTATATTGTATAGTTGGATATAAGACCAAAAATTTGTGACGTTCAAAATATCGAAACAAACATATTGAATTCTTGATAACATTTCTTGAACACCTTGCTATGTTAAAGGTCATAATGATTCTCTGTTTCTATATGATATGCTGCAAAATGCCTCATGAGCTTAATACTGATACCTATATGGTTTTAAGTTGTGTTTTTTTTATTTATTTCATTATGATTTATAGGTGATATGTGTGGCGGTACAGGAAAATGGAAAGCTCTCAATCGAAAACGTGCCAAAGATGTATATGAGTTTACAGAATGTCCAAACTGTTACGGTTTGTCTCTCTTTTCCCAATATTTTCTGTAGTTTGGTTTGGTAACGAGGTGATACAACGGATTTCCCTGATTAATTGGTGACTCCTATTGCAAACAGGTCGAGGTAAGCTTGTTTGTCCGGTCTGTTTAGGTACAGGTTTACCAAACAACAAAGGTCTTCTTAGAAGGCCCGGTGCTCGTGAGCTACTCGACAAGATGTACAATGGTCGGCTTCTTCCCAATTCATGAGCAGATAGGTATAGTTTCTTTTATTGCATTACGAGTTAAAAGCTTTACGGTGACAAACATGTTCTTCTTTCTCATATTCCATCTCTTGAAATTCTGGCAGATTGTTACTGCTTATATGCTTTTAAGCAGAGAGCTAATAGACATATGATATAAGCGGAAAAAACCAACACATTGCCGCTGCATGGAAAGCTATAGGAGAATGTGAAAAACCAAGAACATGTTTCTGTAATGCAGTTTGCTATGGGTTGTAAATTTCTATAAACCTTAAAACTTTCCTTCTCCCTCAGACACTCAAATTCACATGCCCTTCGTTGATAGCGAGGACATAAACTACTCGCGGATATGAACCAGTCTTTGAGCAGAACCCTTAACTCTGAGCCGCCGATGCCTTTGAAGAAAAATGTGACTCCCCATCTGTCCTATAGGTTGGATTGAGGTATCACAATTGCTCCAAAAATAACTAGTGATAAAGGCAGACTTTGCAGATGACCCTAGACTGGTTTGGAGATAGAATATCATGAAATTTTGCACCACACATCCTTCGAACAAAAACCAAACATTGGATAATTTTATTATATAAAGGAGAATGCGTATGATGAGAATGTGACACGTAAGCAAAATTCTTATTCACGAGATCATGATATGTGTAATTGTTAATTTAGATTGTGACATGTGTCAATATTAACAAAAACGTTTAAAAAAAAATAAAGAATATATTCTAAACAAGGATTATGGACTAATTAAGAAAAAGGAAAAAAAATCGTGCTACTAAAATATATAATATTTGGATAATTTATAATGGAAAAAAAAACAAGGAATATATTCTAAACAAGGATAATAGACTAATTAGGAAAAAAAAAAAATCGTTCTACTAAAATATGTAATATTTCTAAATTT